AAGAGACAAAAAAAGGTATTGTGGGGGGATGGTAGATTGAATTTACTAGAAAGAGAAGTTGTATGAAATCATACAGTGGTATGCCTTCATTTCAGAGACTTGGACATGTTATGATAATATCTAAACTGTGGCCAAAATTGAAAATAGAAATGATTCAAGGTGGTGAAGTTCCTTGCCACTGATTCTGCCCTGTCTTACACACAATTTCAAGTCTTCCCAAATGCTACCAACTAACTAGTGGGCTGAGGAACGTTGCAGAAGATGGAGGGAGGTCATCTCTGGTGCTCATCGAGATGGTGGCATAGGTTTTGTGACAGGGAGAAGGAGCTGAGGATGGGTCCTGATGGCACGAAGTTGGGGCTGAGAAGGAACACTAAGGAGGATGGGACTAGACAAGTATAGTAGTGGGGTCTGGATCCAGGCCCTGCTGTCTTACTGCTGTGGATCTGTGCTCGTGCTGTGTCCCAGCTAGTGTGCCTGCTCCTGCCTTCTTGTTCCTGCGTGGCGGCCTTCCCTCGCACCCTTGAACCTTCCAGCTATTCCCAGTGAGATGGATTTGTTTCTTTATTAAAGTGGTTATCTAGATGCACTGAAGATCTAAACTTCTCAGTTGGTAATTTGACTTAAGTCAGATTTAGATTTCAGTATCACAGAATGATATTTTGTCAGGTCCTGTGGATGGAAGAGAAAAAACAGTCAGGCAGAAGACACTGCAAGAAGTGATAAAACTGAGAAGATGATTCTGGGTCATATTGTGAGGTGTCTTTTAAGTAAATTGTAAATGTAGTTTAGCTTGGGTTTTTGGAAGCTCGCTTCCTTTCTTCAGGTATTGAAATGCATTAAAAGAAATGCTGAGGTTATGCATTATTTGTTCTGTTTATTTCCGAATAAGACTGTTGTACTGTCTTTTCTGTATGCTAGTGATTCTTAATCCTGGTCACTCTTGAAATTAAAAAATTAATAACTGTTGAAGCTTTCCCTTCAGAGACTCTCACTTAGTAGTTCTTGTTTGGACCCAGGAATCTGGATTGTTGAACTACTCCCGAGATGACTTTAAAGCCCATCTAGAATTGAAAACTTTCAAGCTACTGTGCTTCTTGACTTGACACTATACAACAACAACAATGGATTTGATTGAAAAGGATCCCTGGTTGTGTAGTGGATTACAAACTGGACTACTAATCACAGAATCAGAGTTTGTTTGAATCTACCAGTTGCTTTGTGGAAGAAAGATGAGGCTTTCTGACTCTCATAAAGATTTACATCCTTGGAAACACTATCCAGGGTTGCTTTGAGTCAGAACTGACTCGATGCACACAACCACCACCAACAACCCAAGCAAGGAGGCTTCTCTCAGTTTTTAGTCCTATCTTCTGTCATCAGCCTTTTAGTTGCCTGATTTCCTACTTGTAAAAGTACTGGGTCTTTGTTAAACCTGATTGTCTGTTTCTTGCTTATTTTTTAGAACTCTTCTTTGGCTTTTACAGGATTCCTTTGTTAATTCTCTTCCTAACATGGACCATTCTTATTGTGTATTTATTTTCTGTTGTCACTCACTCTTCCTTTGCCCACTACTCAAATGTTCTCTTTTACTCCTTAATTACAGACTCATTAGGTGAGCTTATCCACTCATTTGTCTACAACCACAGCCTGTTGTTGTTGTTGTTAAGTGCCGTTGAGTCGGTTGCGACCCTGTACAGGGTTCCGAGGGTGTAAATCCTTACGGGAGTAGAAAGCCTCATCTTTCTCCCGCAGAGCGGCTGGTAGTTTCGAACCGCTGACCTTAAGGTTCGCAGTCCGATTCGTAACCACTACGCTACCAGATGTCCTTATTTATAATTTTTTAAACAGATCTCTTTCTACCTACTCTCAGGTTTTGGATTTTAATATATGCAAAACAGAATCCGTTATATATGCCCTACCTCTCCTTAACCTAAGACAAGACACAGCATAACACAACTTTTAGTGGCACCCTGTCGTCTTAGCCTCAGAGCTAAAACTCTATTGATACTTTTCACTTTTTTTCCCCTTCAATCTTGTTGTCTGAAAAATCTTGAATAATCTGGTCTATCAGTTTCTTCCACCCACTTATAATCATCATCTTGTTGTTAAGTGCCGTCAAGTCAGTTCTGACCCATAGCTACCCTGTATAGGGTTTCCAAGGAGCAGCTGGTGAGCTTGAACCACCGACCTGCTGTTCAAGCCAACTTTGCAGTCTGCGCATTAACCCACAGCGCCACACCAGGACTCCGTAATCATCATTATGCTGGTGGTGGTGTGCCGTGGATATGGTTCCGACTCATAGTGACCCTATACAGAGTTTCCGAGACTGTAAAGCTTTATGGGAGCAGAAAGCTTCATCTTTCTCCCACGGAACAGCTGGTAGTTTTGAACTGCTGACCTTAAGGTTCACAGCCCGATTCGTAACCACTACGCTACCAGAGGTCCTTAATCATCATTATAGTCAACCTAAAAATGATAACCGTTCATCATTCCCTGCTTAAAATGCCGGAATTCTTTACAGCATGAAACCTAAATGAAATGTAAATACGCTTTTTGATAATCCAGCCTCCTCATTTTAGAACTGGTATAATTCTTTGCAGCCATTCCCATATTCCTTTTGGGCACATACATTTCTCATTAAACTCTCCATTGTTTGCTGTTGTGTGTTATTGAGTGCTTTTCATTATATGCATCTTTTGCTATACTGTATCTGTATACTACTCCATCCCCCATAAAAGAATATAAAGCAAAACAAAATTGAGGAGGTTCTGTCTGTAGGCTCCAGCTTGGGTATGACCTTGAAGCCTGTTTTTCTCATTTTGTGTAGGAAATTTGTTTTCTGGAAATAATAACTTATATACTATTTGTATTGGTTTTTTTCATTACACGGAGCTTCTTGTGGTCATGGACACAGACCATCTCCATATTCTTAGCACTTTTGCCAATAGATCACAACGTAGGTGCCAGTAATAATTTATGAATAAATGAATAAAACACATAAAACATTTTAAGTTTATAAGCTTCCAGTAATGTATAAAAGGAATGATAAAATATACTTCTTATTTTCTGTAAAACAAATTGGAGAGTAGAAGTAATTTCATGTGTAGAAAACAAAAAAAATTTCCACTAGTCAATTCTGACCTGTAGAGAACCTGTACTGCAGAACAGAAATGCTCCATAGTGTTTCTCCCTTGGAGCAGCTGGTGGTTTTGAACCACTGAGCATTTTAATCACTGTGCCCCCAGGGTTCATTTATAAGTAAAATGCCTTAAAAAATGATTGAGACGCCTAGGGCAAGAAGTGGGTGTTAGTTATTAATAGATAAATGATTTAATTACTTAAATGACTGTAAATGTTTAGTTATTTGTGACTTCTTTCAACTTTAGGTGTTGAATGTGTGCTATTTGACACTATTTTCTTTCATATTCCATGGCTCCCGTACGTTCTCATTCATAGTATCCTTCCTGTCTAAGTAACATGTTCCACAGAGCCAGCTACATATCAAAAGAAGTATCTAACAGTTCTGTTTAGGGAGCTAAGTCTGAAACAATTTAGTAGCCGTTTGCACAAATAAAGATGTTTATAAGGAAATAATTTTTGTTTCATTTTTTAAAATAAACACAATTACTTGCTATCAGGATTTATGCGCCTGTTGGGGGCTGCACAGTTTCTCATACTTGGAGTCAGATTAGACACTGACACCTTTATTTATTTTACATGGAATTTTGGATGTGTGGTTCTTGGCTTTTTACTATGCAGCTGTGGACTGCCCAGCTTCTCAAAGAAATGGTGTTATTAAAAGGATTATTGTGTGATCCAATATTGGAACCTAAGTATCGGGAACTATCAGATCTTGCAGTGTACAACTGATGCCAAGTATCATTGTATTTCTCTGGAAAATTTAAATTTATTTGTATTCCCTTGGAGAGTTTGTTGTTGTACCTAAGAGTGCCTTGGAGCACAGTTTCAGAACATATAGTTTTTAAATGAAATTTTACTTTCTTGATTTATGATCATCCTGGCTAATATTTACAAAATATTTTTTATATAGTAGGCACAAACAAATATTTGTGAATGAGTGAAGAAATTTAAATTCAGTAAGGGGATTATGATTAAAATTTTCATAGATGTAATTTTATTGGGTGCTTCGAATTAATGCACTGGATTGTGAGGTTTGTTTGAACCATAAGGTTGGGGGTTCAAGCTCGCCAGCCGCTCCTCGGAAACCCTATACAGGGTTGTGATGAGTTGGAACTGACTTGACAGCACTTAACAAGTCTGCATATTAAATTATTATCGTTTTAAATATTCAGAAAGTCTGGTACAATAAAATTTTTTATATTTCATAATTCTGTGTGGCCCTGTGGGTTAATGCACCAGATTGCAAAACCGTTTGAACTGCAAAGTCACTAGTTCAAGCTCACTAGTTGCTTCTCATAGACCATATACAGAGTCACTATGGGTTGGAACCTACTTGACGGCACTTCACAACAACAACAACAATCATTTTGATATGTTTCGTTATATTTTTGTAAAACCATCTAGAAATATGCTGCAGTAGTAGTTTTATTCATTTCTGAGTAGTTAAGAAAATCCTATGTTTATCCAATATCTACTTGTTGTTAAGTGCCGTCGAGTTGATTCCAACTCATAGGGACCCTGTACAGGGTTTCCTAGGAGTGGCTGGTGAGTTTGAACTGGCATCCTTGTTATTCAAACCAACCTTGCAGTCCAGTGCTTATCATACAGTGCCACAAGCATGACTCCCTGTTAAGTGCTGTTGCATCAGGTTTGACTTATAGTGACCCAGTATAGCGTTTCCAAGGAGAATCTGGTGGGTTTAAACTGCCAACATTGAGGTAAGCAGTCTAGTGCTTGTCTTACAGCACCACACCAGGACTAATGAGCTATAATATTCCTTGTTTTGTTTTGCAGGGTTTTTTGTTTTTTTTTCCATATTAACATGATTAAATTGTTTTGTTTGTTTGTTTTAATAGTGGCCAATCCGCCATGGTATAGTTGAAGATTGGGACTTGATGGAAAGGTTTATGGAGCAGGTGATCTTTAAATACTTAAGGGCAGAGCCTGAAGACCATTATTTTCTTTTGGTAAGTGCACATTATAATTTACTGAGGAAATGTGTGAAGAAACTTCATGAGAGCAATTTACATCTCATGTATGCCCTATTGAATTTAAAGTATTACTAGGGTTCCAGTTCATGCATGCACAGTTTTATTCCAAACCAGATGTTTTCAGTAGACATGTGTCTTGATCAGTGGATGGCTGCAGACAAGTTCTTTCAGTTATTCACCTGCCTTTTGCGCAATGTTGTTAAATGCTGTTGAGTTGGTTCCAACCCATACATAGCAACCTTGTATAGCATTTTCAAGGAGTGGCTGGTGAGGTTGAACCACTGACCTTGTGGTTCAAATGACTTTGCAGTCCAGCACATTAACCCACAGTGCCACACCAGGACTCCCATTTTTACTTGATAGGGTGCCTTAAAAAAAGGTGCTTGAAAAAACAATTTTGAGACAGAGTTAATAACAGATTTTTAATAAAATTCAAGTGGACATCTGTACAAATCATTGAATCTTTGCAGCAGGCTTACAGGAATGCGGCCCCACACAAAGGATCAGCTTTTAGATAAATCATGTGGTTTAAGGAAGGTCGGGAAGTCCTCAAAAAGGAGCCAAGAGAGAGAAGACTATCAGTGTTGATGAATGAAGAAACTATGACTGATGTCCAGAAAGTGTTGGAAAATGATTATAGACTTACCTATATGTGATAGCTACTGAAGTTGAGATCATACATGGTTTGGCGTTTTGAATTTTTTAAGTAAACAGCAGTAAGCTTTCAGCTTCAATGGGTGCCTAAAGTTTTGTACAAAGTTGAGCTAGCTCAAAGAGAATATCTTGCCACCAGTCTTTTAAGATAGATTGAAGGTAATGAAGATGATATTATGGAGTGAATTATAACCTGGATGAGTCTTGGATTTACCAATACTACCCAGAGAGCACTAACAATAGCTTCCAAGAGGATTTGCTTGGCCAGTTTAATACAAGGCAGAGAGATCAGTTCAGAGGGTATGGCAATTGTATTTTAGGATTCCACTGGTTAATCTTGATAGATTTTGCCAGAGGACACAGGATGATCACAGTGGCTTATTATGAAGAAGATTTAAGAAAATTGAAAACTGTAGGTGAGAAAAAGTCTGGAAATTAGGACCAAGGAATTTTTCTTTTCCATCATGACAATGCACCTGCTTGTTTTTCAAGAGTAGGAAGTACTGTTCTAAGAGAAATTTGTTAGAAAATCTTAGCCTGTCCTCACAACAGTCCTGTAGTCATACAGTTCCCTTCGGACATTTTTTTTTTCCTTACCCAAACTGAAACAGCATTTCAGTGGATTACAATTTGAGCCCTTGAGGATGCAAAACTGCTATACTGACATGATGTAAATTCTTCAGGGATGAATTCAGTGTGTATATATATCTAGGTGGAGAATATGTTGAGAAAGCAATAGCTTCAAATTTTGCTATATTTTGTTTAGTAAAGGTTTCTTTGCTTTTATAGCATTATTTTTATTGGCTGTTATGGGTAAGGTTCCCCTGGTCAGTAGAAGCTATTATTAGTAGTTAAATTTAGGGGGAGTCAGAAGTCATATATTCACTTTTCAACTGTGTTCAAGGATCAGCTGTAGTTGTGTACTCAAGCAACAGAATAAGCAGATAAGACATTTGTTTGAAAATATATAATATTTATGATGAGAGCGCTTTAAAAAACTAGCTTGATTTTTACTTGTTTTTATAATTCTCAGTAAGAAATGAAGTGTTTTATACTTGTATTTTTATTAAAGCAATACATAATCCTGATTACCCAGTGCTGTAAGATTTGTAACAAGAACAGTGCTCTCAATTCTCATCTCTTCTTTTCTCATCTTCAATCATGTGCCACATATATAATTACTTATAATTTTAAAAGATTTTCCCCTAATACTTCTCTCATAAAATTTAAAAAACTTTTTAATAATGTAAATTGGATTTGCAGAGCAGATCAGTTTTCAATTTAACAATATGAGTACATTTTTTTCAAATTGTTGATTTCAATCTCCATTTTCCATTTATCCCCACTTCTTCTCAGTGTTTTCCATTCCCATTTCTCCTTTCCTAACCCTGCCTTCTAAACACAGATGCTACCCTTTTGATCTCAGAAGGTTGGTTATTCTAAAGAATGAGTACCTCCCTAGTGTTATTGTTCACTTTTTAGACATTTATATTGTTTGAACAAGGGGGTGATTTCAGTTCTAGGCTTGAATGCTGATTATGAGCCATAGTCTTTGAGTTTCCACCGGTCTCCATCGAGTTGATTCTGACTCATAGCAACTGTGTAGGACAGAGTAGATCACCCTAAGGTTTCTGAGACTATAAATCTTTATGGAAGCAGATAGCCTTATCTTTTTTCTGTAGAGTGGCTGGTGGGTTCGAACTGCTGACCTTACAGGCAGCAGCCCAGTGCGCAACCCATTGTGCCATCAGGGATCTACCATATTGAACAGGAGTGGTGGTTAAAGGCATCCTTGTCTGGTTCCCAGTTGTAAAAGGAATGTTTTCTTTCAAGTCTCTCTTTTCAGACTAATGTTGACGGTTGTTTTTTTATATGTGACCTTAATTATGCTGAGAAATGTCCCTTCTACTTTGTTGAGCATTTTCATCAGGAATGAGTGTTATATTTTGTCAAATGCCTTTTCTGTGTTTATTGATATGATTATTTGATTCTTTTCATAAATTTTGCTTATATGGTAGATTACGCTGATTGCTTTTCTAATTTTGAACCATCCTTGCATGTCTGATATGACTCCTCTTGGTTATGTTGAATTATATTTAGCAGTGTCATTGCCTGGTTTTGGTGTCAGGATTATGCTTGTTTCATAATATGAATTTGGGAGTATTCTTTCCTTTTCTATATTCGGGAACAGTTCAAGTAGTATTGGTATCAGGCCTTCTAAATTCTAGTGCAGACATCTGGGTCAGGATTTTTCTGTTGTTGAGAGTTTTTGGCTATTAAATATCTTGATGTGGAGAAAAAGGTAGATTAGCTATTAAGGATTTTTAATGTATGGGATAAGTCTACCTAGTTTTTGTCTTTTTATATTATGAATTTTGAATTAAGAAAATGGATTCAATTTGTAATTGTTGTTAAGTGTTGTTGAGTGTGTTCCAACTCATAGGATTTCTGAGGAGTGGCTGGTGAATTTGTAATTAATTGAACTTTTATCATCTTTCACTTTATAATTTCTATTCTTAAAATTTAAGGAATCATATATTAATCCAAGGTCAGCAAGATAATTTTTCTGTATTTCTTCAAGTTTAAAAGCATTCATTGCCTTTCTTATTTAAATATTTAACATATGCCAAAGGATCAAGCTGTTAAATTAGAATTAGAAGAATCAATGACCTGCCTCAGTGTCAAGCTTTAATAATGTGAAGGATGCATGTTATCATGAGGTAGAGGTGAAACATAAAGTTCAGGATTTTGCCAAATCCTTTTTTTTTTTAAATTTTTTATTATGAATTGGGTGATAGTTTTGGTTATCTTTCTTGATTTTCTTTTCTTTGGTTCCTGGGACATTCTGTTGGTGAACTTTCATTATCAATCTTTAATCTATTATGAGTTGTAATATAAGGATTCACTTTTTTGTTGTTGTTGTTAATGTGAATAACCATATTGTTTTCGGCCTATTTGAATTCTCAGTAGTCTTCCTTTGATCACTGTACTGTGTCTTTGTACCTCTAAATGTAATGCCTTTAAATTACATTGTTTTAAATAAATTGCTTCTCATTTAAATTTCCTAAAAGGTTTTCAAAATAATCTGATGTTACATATTCATTTCAATAGACTGAACCTCCACTGAATACTCCAGAAAACAGAGAATATACTGCTGAAATAATGTTTGAGTCATTCAATGTTCCAGGCTTGTACATTGCTGTGCAGGTAAGCAAATATATATTTATTTAAGTTTGATTCTTGTTTAATTTAGTCCTGATATAAGTATTTTTTCTTCTTTTGTTCTGTCAGAGTTTTAAATATAACTTTAAGGCATATCATAATTCTCTCTTTAAATCAATAATTTAGGAACCATATTATGGGAAATGGAGATATTGAGTCAGCAAAATGGAACTTTTAAAGGAAGTAAGTTAATGGTCTTTCAAAGCCTTTCATATGGCACAAAGAAGGGGACTAATATTTATTAAATGCTTTGTGCCAAGAATGTTATATTTATATTAATTTATCCATATGACATGTAATTGTGGCCTTTCCCCCACCATAAATCCAGGTATATTGGTATACTTTTATTTTGTATATATTTTCAATGATAAATCCCTGTAATTTTTTATTCGACTTAAGTTGTATACATATCAGTATGAAACAACTACTCTCATGGGTTAATTATTCTTTATTAACTATAGATGTTTTTATTTTTTTTATAGAGGGGGAAAAACTAAAGTTTTTTTTTTTTTTAATGATGATATGTGATATAGACTGAGGTCTGACTTTTTATTTTCTTGGAAAAATAAATTATAATTGCTAGAAGGACTGTTTTGATTTAGTATTGCAAAAAACTATTTAAAGGTCCATGTAATTCATAAGTTTAATAAACTGCCTTTTGAGTTTTTTATTGTTGGAAATATTTGATAAGTTGTATCAGGATCCTTATAGAAAGGCAAGTATGCTTGGGTTGGAGGTCGTTTTTAACTCTTAGAATCTAAATTCTAAAAAAAAGTGAGATATTGTGGAGAATTCATCTTTGTGAGTTTTTGCTTATGAACATAACAAATGTATGTTTAACAGTGTTGTCAGGAGGAGCTTCTCTGAAAGCCACAGCACTGAGAGCTTTGTTCTGTCTTGATCTCCATGATGTAGTGGCCCTGGTGCTCTTATTATCATCATTTAAGCCTGTTCTGTTGATGGTGTGCTGATACATATCATATACCTGTTCTAATTTGGGATCTTAGCTATTTCCAAAAGACTTTAAACAATGATGGAAAGAGTTGTAAATAAGGGTTTTGGTCTTATTTTAAAAGGAAGGAGACTTTCTCACAGTGAAGTGTAAAGATTAATTTTTGTTCTATTAGTATCCAGTAGCGTAGTGATTATGAATTGGGCTGCATACCGCAAGGTCAGCAGTTCGAAACTACCAGCTGCTCCGCGGGAGAAAGATGAGGCTTTCTGCTCCCGTAAAGATTTACAGCCTTGTAAACCCTGTTCAGGGTTGCTATGAGTCAGAACCGACTCCACGGCACTTAACAACAACAACATTAGTATGTAATTTTTCATTGTAAGGCCTTCAAAAAATATATAGTTCTTTCAGCCTTCATTAATTGTAGTGAGATCTTGTGTTAAAATAGGGTGGCCTAAATATCTTTCTAGGTCCCTTTTAGGTATCATATTGCAAATAAGTAGAATAGAGCCAGTTTTACTCTGTTGAATTATTAGTGATACATCTTACTTGAGGATTAGGTTATAAGAACTCTAAAATTTTTAAAAGAAACTAGCTGTTAATTTCTTACTTTTCCCAAACGTTTTCTGTGGTTGAAGAGCATGTTGTTAAGAGCCTTCAAGTCGTTTTTGAGTCATAGCAAAGAACATGTTACATATTTCTAATTGCATTTAAAAAATTTGAAACTCATTTAATAGGAATGATAACAGTTCAGAACCACCTATGAGTTGAATAATTAGTGTGATTATGTACTTCTTTGACCTGTTGCCCTTACTTTCTGTCTTGTGACAAGTCAGCCCATGTAAACATATATTATGGTTTGCTAGTCTTAGTAGCGTGCTATTTCGTGTTAGTCTTTATTTATTTTTGAGGAAAATGGTTATCACTAAAACATGTAAATTTTGAAAATGGTGATGGTGGTGGTTATGTGTCATGGAATCTGGTCTGACTCATAGGGACCCAGTGTAGGGTTTCTGAGGCTGTAAATCTACAGGAGCAGAAAGCCTCATCTTTCTCCCATAGAACCACTGGTAGTCTTGAACTGTTGACTGTGAGATTAGCAGCCCGACTCGTAATCACGATGGTACCCTAAAATCAGATATAAATCTGTAAGTTTTTCTTAATAAAAATGTAGAATGTGTAGGCAATTTTATAGTGTAATATAAGTAAATTTTGTGTAATTTCTTTCCACAGATAATGTATTTTAAATTGAATAAAGTACTTCAATAATAAGCTGTTCTTATAAATCTATTGTTTATATTATTTGCCTGTCTTATTTCTTTTTGTTCAAGGCTGTTCTTGCCTTAGCTGCATCCTGGACATCTAGACAAGTAGGAGAGCGGACGTTGACTGGGACAGTAATAGACAGCGGAGATGGTGTCACTCATGTCATTCCTGTGGTAAGGATATAGTAACGCTACTGAAGAGAACATCCAATAATAAATCTGAAAAGGCTCAATTACAGAAATTCAAACCACTTTTTAAAAAGTTTAAATTTGATGGAACTTTAAAAAATTTCATGGAAAAATGAAACTGAAAGGTAATGGAATTTTTCCACCAACCTTTCTGAATTCTTTTGTATTATATTTTAGAAAGTTGCTGTAATTTAACCATTTATTTGCATAGCTATATTTTGCTCAATTTATATAAACAAATGGAAAAATGTTTCTTTTGCTATATGTCTGCACTACAATTAGAAAAATAGCATCTTAAACATGGAATTGTGTTTTTTTGGTTTAGGTGTTTGTTTCTATGAATGCAGTGTTTGTCCTTTATCTCACTGCCTTTATGATTTTCTTTGTATTCCTCTTTTATTGGTTTTGAGCAATTTGACTTGACATGCTTCCTCCCCCTCTCCCCCAATTCATGTCCTTCCCATATGCAAAACATATTCCCAAAAGTGTTAAATCAATTTTACATCCAAAACTTCATCTTCTGAATCATCTGAATCAAATAGGGGTGAGACTTTGTGTGTCTTCCATCATGGGGCAAAATTCCTTTCATCTGTGAAATATAGAACCCAATTAGCTGCTTCTAAAGTATAGCAGTGGAACAGGCTCAAGTTTGACATTTCCGTTACAAATGGGAAAATCTGAAAGGAAATAAGGGATAAAGGATGCCAAGCAAGTCCAAAACCCAGCAGAACAAATTATATTAGCTCTCAAGGCTGTTCTCTGAGACCATCTGGGCAATTCTGATTGGTGGCCCCTGGACTCTGGGCAGAGGCCTACCTTCAAGGTCCAGTTGTATGGAAACCTTGCCCTTTCAACTTTGGGTGTGTCTGATGTCTTACTTCACCTGGATGACAATGCTATACCCTCAGCCCTGATAGACTGTTCTCCTGTCCCTTCAGTTTGCTATCCCCTTTCTACAGCTTTGGGTAACAGCTGTATCCTAATGATCTACCTAATTGGCAGCCACACACTCTTGGAACTGAGTTGGGGAACATACAACTTTTTGAAACTCATGGAGACCATGGCTCTATCCTTTGAAACCTACGAGACCTTGACTTCACCCTTTGAAAACTAGTAATTCCTACTTCTCATGCTCCTTTTCTGCAGTTCTACTGATCTTTGAGGTGCTCTAGGTGTGTTCAGATCTTTTCTTGGAGGACAGCAGATGTAGCTACTCTGGCCTGTTTACTGCCTGCAGAATTCCAAAAAACAGATGCTTTTCTTGGTCTTTTCTCTCCTCTTTTGGTTAAATTGCTAAGTTTTCTGTTGTAGTGGTAGTTAGTTATATCCATCGGTCACTGGCCTAATCTCCTTAACAAAAGATTGAGTCACCAAGTCCTTGGTGAGAGTTTTAGTTATGTCCTTAGTTTGTACAATAGAATTTCCTAAATATTTCAGTTCTGATTTTGTTTTACGTATCTCATTTTTAAGTCAGTTTCTTTTTTCCACGTTTTATTGTAAGCAGCAAGGAAAAAACATGCTGCCCCTTTTAAGGTCTTGCTTAAAAACCTCAGCCAAATACCCAAGCTATCACTAAAAATTGTACCTTTTACCAAATATTTGAACATAATTTAGATTAAGTTTTGCCACTGCATAAAACCTTCACCCCCTCTTCATTGTCCAATCACATGTTCATCATTTCAAAGTCTTAAAAAAGCACATTTAATGTCCATAGTTTTAGCAACATTCTGTTGATGGTGTCTTATGTGTTTTCCAAGGTAATAGACTTTTCTCACTTTTTTGTGAGCCTTTACCAGAAATGCTTGTTATTTCAAACTAATCTAGGACCTTATTATGAAGCACATAAAAGTTCCTTCAGATTCTACCCATGGTGAATTGCAAAACCACTTCTCCATTTTGGGTATTTGTTATAGTAACACTCTACCCTGGCACTACATTTGCCATGGTTCTTACCACAAGTAAGTAACTTTAACAATCAAATTTATTTTCTTCCAGTTTAGGAAACTAGAAGTCTGAATTCAGGGTACCAGCTCTTGGGAAGAGCCTTCGCTGCTTGTCAGATCTAGGGAAGGTCTTTGTTTCTTCGCTTTGTGCTCCTCTGTTCCCTGGTGGTGGTCTTCATGTGACCTGGCATCTGTCTTTCCTCTTCTTTGCTTTTTCAGTTTGTTCTTTTTGTATCTCAAAAGAGATTAACCTAAGATGATGATGTTGATGCTTAGTGCCATTGAGTTGGCTTTGACTCATAGCTAGGAGCAGCTGGTGAATTTGAACTGCTGACCTTGTTGTTCATACTGACCTTTCAGTGTAGTGCTTATCCTACAGTGCTACACCCAGATGCTGTCCATTAACATAACAAAACCCATTCCCAGCTTGAATTATGTTCTTGTTATGTGCCATGGAGTCAGTTCCAACTCATAGCGACCCTGTACAGGATTTCCGAGGCTGCAAATCTTTTTAGGGGAGCAGAACACCTCATCTTTCTCCCACAGAACAGCTAGTAGTTTCAAACTGCTGACGTTGCAGTTCATAGCCTGGTACATAACCACTACGCTTACGAGATTGAATTATAACCATGGGTTATATGGTTAGGATTTACAGCACATTTTTTGGTGGGGGTGGGGAGGTGGGAGTCCTGGTGTGGTGCTATGGAATCAGTATTGGACTACTACTACAAGGTCTAGTTCAAACCCACCAGCCACTCCTCAGAAACACTGTATTATATATGCATCAGGGGTAGGGAACCTTTTTTTGCCACAATTTATAACATTATTTGTGGGACTTAACAAAATTATCAACTTAAAAATTAGTCTGCTGCTCTATTTGGTCAAACATTTAGTTTAACTCACCACCAACAACAACAAAAATGTGGTGACTGGAACTCTGGTTGCCTTGGCAGGACCAGACTAAATTATTTTGAGGGCCTTAAACGTTCCCCACCCCTGATGTACACGGTCGCTATTAGTCTGAACTGACACAATGACACTTAAAAACAACAGTTTTGAAGGTGAGGGATACCGTTTAATCTGGAGTCCTGGGCTAGTGCTGTAGGATAAATACTGGACTGAGACTGATATCTACAAGGTCAGTGATTCAAACCCACCTATACAGGGTTGCTGTGAGTTGGAAACAATTTGATGGCACATAGGAACACTAGCCATTTAATTTATAACTTCATCAAAATTCGCTTTCTTTGTTTTTTCTCCTTAGGGTTCACTGAGTTTTTATCTTTGGATTTGCCATTTTTGTCATATCTGGAAAGTTGTCTATTCTTTAAATGGTTTTCTGTCCCTCTTTTATCACTTTTTCTTTGAGGACTCCATTTCCATGTATGTTGTTGTTGTTGTTAAGTGCCATCGAGTCGGATCCGACCCATAGCGACCCTGTACAGGGTTTCCGAGGCTGTAAATCTTTACGGGAGCAGACCGCCTCATCTTTCTCCCGCGGAGCAGCTGGTAGTT